CGTTACACCTGATTCTCAAATCTGATTTGTAGATCATGCATAATCATGCATAACCGAGCACAGATTATAATGTCGCATATGAATGTCGATCACTCAAATTTCATAGTAAAAAATTTACCCCCGTGATTTGCGTGACAAATCGTGTGACTGATATGTATTATTTGTTATCCAATAAAATTTTTGTACAACAAATTTTTTGTGCATGTATTGTAAATTTGGTTACATCGCTCGAAACTTTGTGCATGTTACACCAAATGCAGTGAACTAAGCACGGGAATTTTGTTGGTTCTATCCGCATAGACATGCATTCGTAGAGGTAAAGGGTCCTCGCTCTGCTTCAGACTCGGATCTTACAAATAAATTACAATTGACCACATAAATGACGATCATTCTTGTTAGCCAATCAAATAAATCTTGATCTATGTTGTGTGTCTAACTTAGCTTTTATCTTTCCCCTTTCTCGTTTTTCCCCAGTTGGCTTGGCTTTATCGGTTTTTCCCACGAAACTTACGTAACTATTCGATAGGAATTATTCGACAAATTATTCGACAATGACTAGTCCAGAAACTTTAGTAGAAAAAGGGTATGCCACGGTTGGAGGAAAACATCGCATTGATAAAGCAGAAAATTTTAAAATTTATTATGAAATTCACGGGAAAGGGTCTAACCGGTTATTTTTTATCATGGGTATGTTGGATTTTTTTCTCTCGAAGTAGTTATAATTGAATAAAAGAAACTCTTCAACGTATATAATATATAATAGGGTTAAACACAACATCTGCAAGTTGGGAATATCAGGTATTTGATCAGATTATTATTCATAATAAATGAATTCTCAAATTAAAAAGATCCATGTATGAATATCATCTAACTTTAACATAGGTCAGATATTTTGGAAAACATCCTGATTACCAAGTTTGCATTTTTGATAATCGTGGAGTCGGGTGGTCGGGTTTGTTATTACTTTAATTACCTGTAACTGTTGTAATTACTGCAATTACCGCAATTACTGTAATTGCCGTAATTGTTGTAATTATTGTAATTACCGGAATTACTGTAATTGTGATTACTGTGATTACTGTAATTGCTGTAATTGCTATACCGGTAACTGCTATAATATTACCAAATCAAGGTTTTTGAGCTTATTTTATGGTAATTCAAATAAATCAAAGACGCTCCTGGAGGATTGTACAGGTAAACCACGCAATATGCAAGAAATATACAAGCATTTTTTTAACTCATCCATTTTTTTTTATATTTCTCAGTACGAGTCAAATGGCTCAGGACGCAGTCGACCTTATGGACCATCATGGATGGACAGAAAATATCCATGTAATTGGAATATCTATGGGCGGTATGATCGCTCAAGAATTGGTCTTATTGAAACCTGAATATGTGAAATCTTTGTGCTTGACTTCAACTACTGCAGGAATGACTGTACCTCCAGTAAGTTACATCGTTTAGATAATAAAATCATTAAAAAGTTTTTTTTTTTTTAACATAAGATCCTTTTGAACAGATTGCCGCAATTACAACAATTCCTAGACTCCTTTTGATAAATGATCCGAGGACTAAAATAAACACAGTTATTAAAATAATGTTTTCAAAGGTAATAAACAATATAGAATTATATTTAATAGCAATCGTGAGATAAAACGTTATTTGTTATCGTAGGAATGGTTAGCAGCACCTGCCCCTCCTGGTTCTCCATACAAAAATAATGAAGAACATATGGTTGAGGTAACTTATCTAATTTAATTTTTATTATTCTGATTATTTATTTAAATATATTTACTCTAAAATATTATTAGGACATGTGCAGCAGAATTAAGAGAAGTCGTCTTCAACCAGCTAATGGTATTATATAATTTTCTTTGCAATAAAACCAATAAAATATACTATTTAGAGTATTTATTTATTTTCAATCCTCTAATTATCACTTACAGGAGCGATTGGTCAAATAGCTGCAAGTCTCTTTCATTATGTTTCTCCAACGCGACTTCAAAAAATTCGAAATTCTATCCCACAGGTACGTATTAACGCCCTTATTGTATCTTTTTTTGACATGCTCGCGATAATGATTCAAATTTACCAACATTTTAGATACTAGTAATAACTGGTAGTTGGGATAATTTTGTAAGACCTAACAACAGTTTTTATCTCGCTGAACAACTTCAAGCTGATTTCGAATATTGGGAAGGTAATAAATAAACCTCTTAGTATTTTTGGATTTTGATTAAAATTCCTTTTTAACCTAAATTAATTATAAACCTAGGTTGTGGTCACATTCCATGTGGTGAACAAATCGAAAGATATAATACTTTGTTAGAGAATCATTTTAAAAAGGCTGGGTTAATTCATTCGTAGTATCTTTAATAAAATGGTTTACTATATATCAAGGCTAAAGGTTAGATGAACATTGAATAATTTTAATAAAGTTTACACACTGTATTTATACTCAAAATAGCTAAATAATTTGATTCTAATAATAAAGGTTAATACTTATTTGTCTTTTCTATTACATTTTATCAATTAATGGCATTCTTTCTATATTATTTAAAATCAAATTAACTTTATACAAAGACTATATAATTGAATGTCTGTTAATCTTTTTTTTTAATGTTCTTATTTGTTGTACTCATTTCATTTATGATTTCATCAAACTATTATATAGTAATGACAGACCATCACTTTGTTTCTTTAGGAACATCTAAAACATAATGTGCATCAACGTACCTTTCGGCATTATCATCGTCTTCAAAAGTAAGTAAATATTTTAAAGGTATTGTTATTTTACTTGGGGGAAGAACTACGTCAGCTTTATAAAAACATGTTGTACCCGGATATAATGCTATTACTGTTGCAGATTTTGGAAATTCCGGTAGCCACATTTCTCCAGGCTTTGGAATTATTAAAACGTTTTTTGATGGCACCAAAAATCGTCTGTATTAGCCATTAAAAATATATAAATGTGATAAAATTTAAAAAAAAAAAAAAAAGGTGAAAGAAGTTAACATGGGAACTTACTCGCCAGGTCTGTTTGAGGCCTCATCTCTATCTGCATCTTCAACCTCATAACTTGATTTGTTTATATGAGTTATTAAAATGAAAATAGACTTTAAATTTTACATCTTATAATTTGATTTACCTTTTTCTTTCAGATATATATCCTACAACTATGGCCAAAATCCAGTTCTCTTCGATATCTTTATGTTTAGGTTGTTTGGCTGCAACCTGCAAGATGTACGTATATCACGCACTAGAACTATTGGCTTTGTTAAGGAATATTATAAAGCACTTACATATGTTCCGTTTTTAATAATACTACGACCCTTCGACTGTAGCCTAATAGTATCAAGAGTTTTAATAACACATGAATTTTGAAATATATAAATTATAAAACTTTACATACACTTTAGACTTTTTCATTAATGTAGTTACATCTTTACTCTTCTTTTTTTTATAGGTATTTTCGTCCGTACTTAAACCTTCTATTAATAATAATAAACGATGATAATTTATAATGATAAATATTATCCAACATTTATTAAAAACTAATACAGTACCTGAATACGTACGAAAATCTTTATCAGATTTCAACGCATGATACTTATCGATAAGTTTGGTAATCGTTTTACACATACTAAACTCAAAAACAAAAACAAATCAAAACAAATCAATTATAAAATTATTTTTAAAGTTTATTTAACGTGTTAAAATAATTAATTACTCTTCCTCATGAACTGCTTGATCGATAGCTTTTTTGTACAAAGCTTTGAGGATTTCTTTAACATCTGGGGCTACATATCCAACTGAATTTAAAGATTATGTCATTTTATTTACTGCTATTTGATTGGATAAAAAGTTTACTTTTAGAAAAATAATATACCACACTGTATTTTTTCATGGTATTCATTTATTGATTTAATTAACTCAATGCCTTCTTCTTCAATTCTTTCTAATGTTTCAAGATTTTCGCAAATTCGGGCCCATAAAACGTCTTCTTCAAATGATTGACGTGATGTTTCTTCAAGATATTTGTCCATGTTTATTTATAAAAAGGTCGGAATCCCGGATGAATTTATCTGGATTTGCCCTCATGTGATCTGCCTGCGATGTTTGTCTATGATAAAGATGTTGATTGGTTCCATTTTATGTATTGTTACCGCAGCTATCCCTTAACGGATTGTCTCCACATCCAATAAAAATACGATATGTAAAAATATAAATATTACTATAATATTCTAACGTGTGTGTTTTGATTACTCGATTAGTAAGTATAGTTTTCTTTTTTTTGGAAATGATCGGAGATGTTGCGTGTTGCGATGTGTGGTACCGTATAATGCGGACCGTGGTACCTCGGGTATAATACATTATACCGATACGGCAAATTTACAATTAGTACACAAGATCCTGATGATTTTTACATAAAAAATCTTTTTACATAGAATATATTTCTCGGGTACGTACGTACGTACTGTACGTATTTTACTTTCTATTGTGAAAATTTCTAAAAGAGAATACTTTGCATAGTGATATTGTAGTTTTTATTTTATAGCATATTACTGTATATATACGTTATATATCGTAATTAATAGTACAAGTGTACGTATGAAACACGGGTACATATAACAAAAAACTTTGCTTATGAAACTGCTTTTTAGTTCTAACAAAAAAAAAAAAGAAAAAAATCACCGTGAAATACGTGTAACCACTAACCTAAATCTTAAATCCTAACCTTAATTTAACTTCAATCAAATAAATTTTATACTAGCGTATCTTGTAAAGTTATTAAGATTATAAAACATATAAATAAAAAAGTTATAATTATAATATATAGATATTGTATATATTCACTTATACAGTATATACTTGGATAATGCGTAGCATTATTTATCCGGAACCTATTATAAACTATATACCGTATGTTACCGAATAAAAGCTAAAAAGTTTATTATGTTTTACAGCTACTATCATTATTTCTGGGACACCTGAAGAATTTTCAGATGACCGAAATATCCTCTATTTCATTCGGTAA